ACTCAAGACACACACACACACACACTGTGGCCCATCTTGACTCCCATTTGTTTGATGCCAGAACTATCAATAAACAAAAAGTGAAATTATATGAAACATATAAATAGGTAAAATATTTATTCCTAAAATATGCTGATGTTTAGCTCTACTGTTCTTCTCTAGAGTCTTGAGCAGATTTATCCCTTTTTTTTCTATCGCTCTCTTCCACTTACCCCTCCTCTCTGTCTCTCTCTCTCTCACACACACACACGCACACACACAAATACCTTATATATGGAAACACAGACTCAAATTAAAAAAATAAAATACAGACATTAATAAAACAACCTTTGAAACTAACAAGACTAAGGCAGCTCAAATTTTAATCACCACATTTCATTATTTCATTTCTTCTCTCCCTGCTACTCTCCGTCCAATCAGCGACCGTGCAGCACGCTGACTGAGTTATTTTACTGAAAGAAAAAAAAAATATTGAAAATGTTCATTTTCTTTCACTGAAAATTAATCACCTTTGTTTATCCTGCACTTTACCGTGCGAAAAATAAATTGAATTCGCTGAATGATCAAGGCCGTGTGTCTTGAGACAAAAAGCTGCTTTTTTTTTACCTTGGTGCATCGCTTTTATTTTGACCCACACACAACAACCTCCCGCCCCTCCCCCTTCCTGGCAGGGACAAAATGGGGGGCGGGGGGGGATATCAGGCAACAATTGAACAAATTTCATGAAGTGTCCACACTGTATACTACAGTATATGCCCTGGATCTGAAATACAACTTCAAAGGTAAAGAGGTAAAACATAGGGTTTCTGTGTTTCAGCGCTGAATCGAACTGAGCCAATTAGCAGGAAAACAGCCTGGAAAAATACAAATGCATAGTATTGTTTTTAGTTTATGCTTCTGCAAGTTCAACAGGCTTACAGTAAATCATGTAGTTACAACGGACATTTTTTGGTTAGAGGGCAAATGTAAAAAAGTAAAAGAAGAAATGTGAGAAAATAGAGTAATTAAAAATAGATGATGGAGAATGAATTTGACCAAATATATTCATTTTAAAAACCAGGTCATGGAACCAGTGGAGATGTTGTTTTACTGCATCGCATTAAAACTTTATCAATGTGCCATGTTGATGACGTCAGTATAGAACACGAGTGTGATAACAGGCACACAAGTGTGATAACAGGCACACGCCTGGCTGTGGAACGATTACCACCTCTGTACACAGACCTCAGAGCAGTTTGGCGTTAAACCCTCTACCCTCCACTGGCTTTGGCCAAGAATTTGTGAGCACAAAGATTAATTTCCACTGGATTCTGTAGTTGTGTTTCAGCAATTACTGTAAAATTCCACTGGAGCTCTTAATGGGAGTCAGCTGGGAACTGGAGCAGACACATCACTACACTCCTAATTAGCTGTCCAACAGGTGATGGCACTTAGAACACTATTAGTCTGTATGTGACGAGGCCCATGTCCGGTGAGTCAGGAGGCTAATGTGGGATTAGCATGTGTTTGTGTTGGTGTATGTGGCCTGAAATCAGGAAACAATCTGATTTAAATGGTGTACGGTTCATGACATATTTATGTTTTGCCTTTTTTCTTTTATCTTCCCTCTAAAAACTACTGCACTATAAGGTTTGTATGTGTGTCATGGGTATTTACGTGTTTTCTTGAGGTACTTGGTAGGGTCTAAAGACATGCAGATTAGGTCAGTCCAGGGTGTAGTCCTCACTCCACCAACAACTGCTGGTATTAGCTGCAGCACCAGAATTCTTATCCAGGTCAGATGCGGAAGATTTGATGTATAAAATATCAAGAGAGACACAGACAAGTCCCTTCTGGAATTCAGCTTCAAGCATTTTACACATTTTACACGCCTACAATCAAAGATTTGAGACTCACTCAGTCAGTCCAGTAAAATAGTTAGCATTTGTCCATTTGTCCATTTGTCCATTGACCAACCTAAGGACGAGCAGTCCAGTCTTTTGCAGAAAAGTAACGACAGCAACAACTCACAAACACAAAGTCCTCAAATCAGAAGTGGAGAAACAGAGGCTGAAGTGAACTGGGTCTTGTTGGTGGTGGTTGAAGGAAAACAATATCAAAGGAACCTGTGTTTTTAGCTGCCTGTTTAGTTCTGCTCTGTGTCCATACATATTTCAGTGGGTCTGAACAAAGCCAAGCAGGAGCATATTCTATCACAAAGGCTTCTGAGCACAGTCCCACATGTATGCTGGACAACACGCACTCGCCCACACACAAAGGAGCTCAATTGTCCCAACACTGAGGCGGCTGTAACAAGTCCAGGCTCAGCTTAGATGCCCTTAGGTGAAAGAGAAGCTACAGAGGCAGCAAGAAGGCCCTCAATTGTCTCTCCAAGGAAAGGAAGGCTTACAGAGAAATGAAAAGAAAAGAGAGTGTTGTCTGCAGAGACATGACAATGTGAAGGACAAGTTTTGCAGATAAGGCCTCAAATTTTTTTGTCTATTGCTTGCTATATTTCTGAGCTGAATACCTGCTCAGGATTGTGAATCTTTTTCAAAGAAAAGTTTTGTGTTCAGTGTGGTTATAAAAAATAATAATGAAAAAACTCTACCTGCTCAGGATTGTGAACCTTTTTCAAAGAAAAGTTTTGTGTTCAGTGCACAAGAGGATTCTGATGTTATTCCTCCCTGTGAGACAGAATTTTTGAAAACTTGGAGATGTACTGTAAGCAGCAAATGCCCTCACCTGGTTCCCTGAGATTAGTTCATGGATTTCTGAAAATGTTCCGCGGCTCTCACTCTCTGAGCCTCCGTTGTGCTTTGTGTGCTCCATTCAAGTCTCTTCTTCTTTCGTTGGTAATTGTGAGTGGACAGATGTCTCAGTGTTGTTTAAAGTTGTTCTATGATCCAGAGAGGCTTCTGGGAGAAATAGTAGTGTAATCTGAGTTAGACTTTAAGCGGAGTACAAATACAATGAGCGACACACATTATATTTTTAATCATACAAAAGCAGTAGCTCATGTGCCACCAGCAGTGTATAGAAATGTGTTCATGTGTAGAAAATACAGGCTTTAGGACACATACATACATGTTGAAATACTCGAGATAAAAGGCAACTGCAAAAAATGCATTAATGCAGCTAATAGTTAACTGCTCACAGCCAAGCCTGGAAAGGCTCGACTACGGATTTTTGCAAAGATTTAATGCTATTTTTCTTATCTGATTAATCACAGAATAGCTGTTGATTAACCATATTTATTTATTACAAATATTTCTGCTCTACAGTGGATTTATTAGTATGGAAATATCAAGAATAACACGTAAAAGTACAACTAAAAATTTAGCTTCATAGAGAGTAAACATGTCAAGAGTTTCTTTCAACCCGTTGTTGACGTCCTTGTCCTCAACAGTGTTAATCAGCATTGGACATTTGGACACAACTCAGTCTGTCAGCAGTAGACTCACTGTCCTGCTCTCAGTGACGCTGCTCTGATGAACGTTGGCCGCCCGAGCTGTTATTTTTACAACTAAGTGTTTTAGCCATCCAAGCTAAAAGACGTATAATTAATGACATATAATTACATTTTAATTTCCATGCTGTGCCTAAAATGCACTGAACCAGGATGTCGACCACGCTCATCACTTTAGTACTAAGGCTCGAACAAATCATCTGTTTTAGATTTAGATTCACATAAAGGAAACATAAAAATATTGTTGTTCCAGTTTGTGTATCACTGTAGTCAAACTTACCTTATAGCGCCCTCTGCAGGAGAACGAGAGTAAAAAAAACATCCTTAGTATAGATTCCCTACATGTTCTCTAATTTGTTACCTTAAACAAATGTTCATTATATCAGCAGAGATACTGCAGTAATGATATCCGCACAGCCACAGCTGTTTAGTCAAGCTGTCAAAGTGTCTGTGCCCCTTAAATACTGTAATCAACATGACTAATCGAAGTCCACATAGTTGGCATAGCTGTCTGTCACCTGCTCACCTGTGTACAACCTGCTGGAGCACCAGCACCAGCAGAAATGTCTTTATTAGTTGGAAGAAAAAAAAAATCCCGCTGCTAGTGGAAGTATTTATGTTAGTTTGAAGTTAGAAGGTGGTTGAAAAATGTCAAAGTTCAACTAAAGCTGCACATCATGACTTTGTAGGTTGTTGCTCTAAAATATTTTGCTTGCACATTTTTCGTTTAATTTATTTTTAATTAATTAATTAATTTTAGAATTTTTATAGTGTTTCAATTAAAAACCTAAAATTCAGAGCATCAACATCCAGATGGGCAAATATTGTTTTTCTGTGAAACAAAGCAACCATAAACCACTGATCTTTATTCCATGCATGGCATACAATAATAGTCATTTTAAATAAAAAGCAAATTTACAAATTCAAGGTCATTTTAAACAGATGAATTTTCCAGTAGGAAATACATGTAATAATTGATTAATGGCAAATGATTTTAATCTGCCATAAAACGAACAGGGAGTGGCAAAGCATATGCAGTTTATATCATTTAGTTGTAGATGTGAACCCAACCAGACTGGCAGCTGATTTCATTCAATAAGAGCATGAATGTTAACAACATGAGAGGGAAGTGAAGACCAGAAAATACAATATTTTCCTGTTCTTAACTTTTTAAAACACTTTTTTTAAGTTGCACAGTTGTAGCAAAGTGAGTTTGTGTCATGTGAACAAGTTAATGTTTGCTGTGAGCGTTCTTCTAGTTCAAGTTCAAGTTCTAACAGCATTTGTTTTGTTAGGTTAAACCAAAGGCTTTAAAGGTAGAGTTTTTTTTATTTTTATAAAAATTAAATTACATTTTAATGGCTGTTTTTCACCACAAGGACACGGCCTTGTGTTTGAACTTTTCTTTCTTTCTTACTGTATCTCTTCAAGTGTTTTTTTAAAGGAAGTATTTAGAGGAAGAACTCAGGTATGGGAGAAGGATGGAAAAAGCTTCTCAGACTCAATAGCTTTAAAATCAAATCTTTTAGTGTCTTTAATATTTTTAGCATTATTTGGTGATGTTTTAAGGTTAAGACCTTCTTTGGGACAGTAATGATGTCATCATCACAGGTGTAACAGCTCTTCCAGCTATTCAGATTCCTGGGCACTCAGTATGAATGTAGCCAAAGTAGAGCAGCATAATATCAGCATGTGCATCAGTAATACACTCGTGACTAGGATGTGTCTCTTGGGCAACTCTGGTTCTCACAGGCTGATGGAAGAAGTTGTGCCTGTAGAGAAGAGTACCACGAAGAGATTTGTGTAAAACAACCGTGTGCCACTGCTTTTGGACCAAAGCATTTAAAATGTATGTACAGCAATTGAAATACAGGAAGCCACAGCACTGTGCAGTATATGCTTTGTCTCCATCGACGCTAACCAAAAAGTTCCTGTGTTACCTACATACAAGTGAAATCTGTTTTTAAAATTCCCATTTGTCACGGTGTAATGTGTTGTTTCAGGGGGAGTTGTTTGTTGTATATTGCAGTGGGACAAAACAAGTGATGAGCATGTGTTTGTTCAGAATGTTTTTGTATAAAGTTGCTCTTAGTCCTGGCGTTGTGACACGTGATATTTGCCTGGTGTGGAGTTCAGATTTGTACTTTAAGAGTTCAGTCTGCGGACTGTCATACAAAGCTCTCCTCCATGTTGGAACACAGCAGGAAAGAGTCCACCAGCCTGGGTTTGATGAGCTGCTGGTGGTCGGCTGGCTCAATGCTGTCTGGGCACCCTGCAGCCAGTCTCCTCAAGGCAGCCTGGACACACACACACACACACACACACACACACACACACACACATCAGAGATCAAATGCTCAACAATGTCCTCGTATGTCTTTGTTTTTAGGATAATGTTACAAAGGTCTGTCTGAACATGTAGACACATAATAGGGGCAGAAGAAGCAGAGTGTTTATTGTCACTAAACCCAACTGTGCGGGGATGAACTCTGGGCTGTATTATTCAGCTGTAGCATAATAATTAATTACTTTGATGGAATTCATATGAATTGCTTCAACAATTCAATCAATGAATCATGACATTGCAATAAAATGTAATTCTTAGGAATTCAATCAATGACTCATGACATTGCAATAAAATGTAATTCTTAGGAGATTGTCACATGATAAACCATGATAAATAACAAGTTATGTTCTCTTTTGTATGGTAGAATAATATAAGAAAAATGATAAACCCAGATCTCTGATTCATTTTTAGTAGAGTAAATGTACGAAACTTATTCTAATCCCAAATAAAAGGTTCTGTGAAATCTCAGCACCCTTTCAAGATAATAAAAATCAACACCTACAAATTCGCTACTTAACCCTTGGCTATAAGGATAAAATAGAATATCATTAATTTAAAAAGACTGATTTTCACTGAAGAGGAGGAGCAGGAGGAGGGCGGGCAGGAGGAGCAGGCCATTTCACAGCACGGCCAGGCAGCCCAATTAACATCTTGACCAGTATGCGTCTGAATTCACTTTATTAGCCTCAGGATCTGGGTTTTTGTAATGATTTACGTAAGGGAAGATAAGTCAGAGTTTGGTGATATTATTCATGATATGTGCATATTTGAACATACAACATTTGAAATGATGTGAAGCCGTTTGCTGTATCAATGTCCTGAAGACCTAATGAAGTTATTCCTTCACTCAGGCTTCAAATGTTACCCTGTGGGTGTAATTAAACTGGGCAGTCATTTGCTGCACTCATGTTACACGTATGTACTGCAGGTCCGTGGTATAAACCTCTCTCTCTCTGTTCTGCCCAAGTCATGCACCGGAAAAACATTTTTTAAGCAATGCAGTGAATAAATAAAAACAAATTCAATGTTTAAATTGAACATTTGTATTCAAGACATGGAGCTGTTTATACACATCTTGAGGGGGGTTGCCTCCCTCTCTCTCTCCCCGTTTTGACTTCTCTCTTTTAGCCACACACACACACACACACACACACTGTACACCCACCAGGCAGGCGACCAGGACTGAGTCGCTGTTATTTCTCTCAGTAGGAGACCGGCACAATTCAATAAGACGAGGAACAGCTGTGACAGGAAAGAAAAAAAGAAGCTGTTACAACCTTGTCCCATCCTGATGAACTGAAATCAATCAGAAGCACAGGGCAGTCACTGTACAGAAAAGCTGTAAACAGTAGGTTCAAATTGAGTGTGTAAAATACCAGAAAATTTACAGGTGAAGTTAAAAAAAAAAATTCAACTCATTATGTTTTGCATAATTTACTTATAAAAAGACGCTCTGTCCGTGCTCAGTTTCTTATGCTGCCTGTGAATCTCCATAGATCAAATTATGAGCTTTATTTAAATATTCATGAAAACTAGTTTCCCAGGAGAATATAAGGTACGCAGAGGACTGGACATACAGTATGTACAGTGTATTTGAATAAAATATATTCATTTTTCTTTTTTTTTTCTTTTTTTTTGATCTCTGATGATCAGATACAGATCTCTGGCCTGTGGACCTCAGTAGCGAGAGGGAAGTGAATATTAATATATTAATATTGAGTCACTCAATATTCAAGTTAACTTTTTTAATGAATCTGGATGTTAAAATTACAAACTAGGCTCCAAACACCTTTATTGTATTTAAACTTATATTTTATACCAGTTTTACATACTTTTTTTTCAAGTTTTTTATTAATTTTAATTAATTTTTGCTTCTTTAATTGGAACGTTTATATAACTGTCTACAGAAAGCGTATTCCATAATCCAGAATAACCTTAAAGTTATTCTGATACTGTACTGTGCTTGGTTTTTTAGTTTGTTACTTAGGTTGCCCTCTAGTGGCCGTAAACCCTCCCATCTTTAATGCATGTTATCCTGGAAGATAGTTTTGCGTTTCGATGGTCAAGGCATCAAACGTGCAGAAAAATGAGATTGGCGAATTAAACCTTGGGTGTTGAGAAAAAAAGAAAAGAACAGAAAATATTGATTCTCACTTCAGTCTGTGTGCTAAATAAACAGGCCAAAAAAGCTACTGGATGAATCATCAATCTAGATAACCAATAGCGTTCTGCAAGAAAAATATACTTTTTTTTAGTTTATAGATTTTACAATTCAGTTAAATGCTAAGTACAAACACGATATACTGTATAATTAAGAAACGTGAGGTGGCAGCACCTTTGAGCTGGATGGCTGTTTGGGCCACATCTGGATCTCTGCTCAGACGAGCCAGTGTGACTGCAGCCTTCTGCTGGACACGCTCGCAGGCAGCGCCCTCTGATGGACTGGGCGAAGTTGGTTTTTCTCCCAACAACAGCAGCAGTCGTTCTGTTCCTAAAATAATAAATAACAAATAATAAAAACAGTTATATATGTTTTCTCCGAAGATATTACACGATGCTGCCATCTTGTGGTATAAAGAACAACAACCCTTTGTATTTTTTGATATTGCACACGCACCCCGTTTCACTTAATATATTGTGATATATTTACAGTTTTGCCAAATATTTGTAAATACCACGCACCCCGTTTCACACCAGTTTTGCCAAATATTTGTAAATACCATTTTATTATGGACTTTTATATATATACATATTTTTACCTTGTTCTTGAAGGACTTCTGTGGCACACTGCTCTAACACAGAGAGGTTTGCCAAAATAGTCACCACCTAAAAGTTTAGAGAAATATTATAGTAATAAATAAACACCACACCACAAATGTATACATACAAATATGAATGAAATACACAACAAACTCAGTTGTTGTCCTGTTCGTGTTACCGAACCTAAGTCACTCTGTACCTGGTCTTTGGAGTAGGGCGTGTCCACTCTCTGCTTGTCTTTGCATGCCTGCAGCAGGATGTGGATGGCATTAAGTTGAAGGAGAATTTCACAGGCCATACTGTCAAAGAAGGTGATGTTGGCTAAGGCTGCAGATGCTAAAAGGAATACCTCACCACAGGAGGCGCTCTCACACAACTCTGAGGGGATAAAGCAACACTTACTATTATTTAAAAAAAAAGAAGCACAATTCAGATTCACCCCAGAGTAAAATAACAGTAAAATGATTTTACTTTTACTTGACACGTGTTAAACACTTCATCACTAAATATAGATCAGTGTGTTTATTTATCCAAAGTCGGTAAATAGAATGACAATGTACTCACTAATGAGGGAAGTGACAATGTCATGCATGCTCTCCAGGAAGCTTGCGAGATGCTGGGTGGACGTGTGATGTGGGGAGGTGATCTGAGCCACAACAGCTGCTGCCTCGGCCCTGGCTGCCTCAACACTGTTTTCATCAGTTAGGATGTCTGCCAAGCACAGGATCCCATCCACCTACAGGTAGACGACACAGGATGTAGGCACCACAAAATAATGTGACTTACTGTACAGTTTGTTTCATTGAAACATTGAAGTTATATGAAGCAGGAGTCAAATCTTTTGGTTTTTCTTGAGATACTCTGATTTTCTCTCAAAGTCACAACATTCATTTTATGGCTGAGGTAATTTGATTGATACAGGTTCGATTGTCTGCGTTTTAGATGTCAGCGATTTAAGCTTCAAAAATTGTGAAAGAGGATTTCGTCCACTTGAGGGCAGTGTATCACAGTTCATTCGAGCTCTACCGCTGTCAAAAAATCGACGACGCTGCATGAAAACTCATTTTTTAATTTTAATCTTTAAAAAAATACTCGTTACCATTAAATGTAACAAAAATATAATTTTTTTATTGCAAAACAATTAATCATCACCTCTCATTTAGCAAAAAGTACACATTGCCATCAACAATTAATCATCACCTCTGATGTCATTTAGCAAAAAGTACACATTGCCATCAGCCAAGTTTACTGATAAGAAAAGACACAATTTAGAGAACAACATTCAGGGTGAAGCACAGTGTCAGCTCTCAGCCCACCACACCTGTCAGTCCTATCTGCTGACGGGCATCAGCACACCAAGCTTTGCAGCGTAATTCCCTATTTTTATCTTTGTAGACGTATGCAACCAGACCCAATGACAGGGAACCATTCACTTTCTCTGCCCTCATCGGTTTCCATCCACTCCGCTGCCTGCATCTGTCCTTGTTGCCATCCTCATCCTGGAAATGATTAGTTCTCCCACTCCAAATGAATGTCATTCCTTTTTTTTTATCTGGGTTTGAACTTAATAACTGTTATTCTGAGTCATGCCAAAGTTTTCAATGTTGGTGCTGTCGATATTGGAGTTAGTTTTGATGTAGATCGGAAAACCAAACAACATCATCTTGTTAATAAATAAGAGGCACAAAGGGACAACGTGTAAGTTTGTTGTACTCCACATTATTATAAAGTAGATAATAATGTGTCGGATAATTACAACATTATCAATCATTCATTTCCAGTGATGTCAGTGATGGACGTACAGTGCTCTATAATAGGTTCTATACCTGTATACTACATCACAGCTCCCTGGAGTTGTAGGTGTGAATAAATACAGTAGGATATAAACCTATCATAAATCTGTGCTTTTGATCTATTATCATCTTTATTATTTATTTCTCCGATCCCAAAATAATCTTTTCAAATGAAAATTACAATCACACAGTGTTAAACTTTCTCCTCTGACGTACCTCCTCATGCAAGAGGCAGTTAGGTGGAACGAGCTGTTGTGACGTACTCCGTCTATAATTTACCAGGAATAGAAAGTTTTACTTCCGCCCCGGCATCAACAAACACTCGAGTGTGTCCTCACTGTGAACCATTCATTTCATTTTCCTTCTCTCTCACATCCCTGACTGTTGTGTTTCTATTTTGTTTTTCAGTCTTTAGAGACGTGTGATGTTCAGTCAGAGAAGACAAAGTCACAATTACTGTTTATACACACTGAGACAAAGAAAGTCACAATTACTGTTTATACACACTCATCCAAACGACATCATTATGAACAGGCCTGCATTTAGTTAGACATGGCTTGTATTTTCAGGTTAATGTGTCTTCTTTTGTATACATATATAATGTTACGGTGACTGGTGGGAGTATATCATTGATAGACAAAATTAGACAGTTTTCATAAATGTTTTCCCTTTAACTGTGCTTCTATTCCTCATTTCTGTTGGGAGTAAAACTGTGAAGTCTACTGTTTATTCACCAGTGTGAAGTGCTGGTGGATACCAACCCCTTTCCTCTGTCACCCTTCAGCTGTGACAGTTGTGTTTCTCAAGCCTGAGCAATCGCCAATAAGCGCTTGGTAGCTTACGCTCGCCTGACAGCCTCTCCCTCAGGGGCAGAGCTGCTAATCTGGGGCGGACTCTGGTTCCTGTTAAAAAGTTTTCACACTCGGATGATTCATGCCGTCCCAGCTGCTACGTAGATGCAAGCGCAGCCACCGCTGTGGCATCATTATTTGCCCAAACCGGGGTTATATTTGTCTCTTTGTTAAGGCTGGCTTGACACAGGTGCGTCTGTTGTTTATTTTGGTTGAATTCACCAGGACATCACAATATTAATTTCTCATTACCTCCAACTCTCTACGTCTCTTTCTCTCTTTCCTCACCTTTTGCTGTAACTGACCTCTCACAGTGTGACAGGTCAGTTATGTCAAATACCTCTGAGCTTCATTAATATTGTTATAACCTCACATCTTTGGGAACGCAGTCTGATACATGTGTTCTCACCACTTTGTACCATTACAGTTGATGCTTCATCGAAGTGATCACAATATGTTGAATCTACTCATAGGACCAAGCCAGTTAAGGTAGAGCAGTGTGCAGGTAAAATTACAGGGTAGGGTTGAGACTGACGAGCTGAGACGTGTGTTGATGAAGGAGAGACTTAAGAAAAGTCCTGGTTGAAGATGGTTATTGTGAAAGAAGGATGGGGGTGCGGGGGGGTGATGGGGGTGTGAGATGGAGTGGGTTGGGAGGGGATGTGAGATGGAGGCAGAAGATGTGCTGCTTCAGCCTCATTCTGATTCTCAGTTATAATTGAACTGTCGACCTCTTGTGTACACACTGACATGTCCTGTTCCTGTGCAGCCTGACCTCCTGCTCCACTGTGGTCACATGTTGACCGGTGACAACAGGTCACAGTCTCCCAGCTCCTAGACCAACGCTGTACTGAGCTGTAGACAGAATACACTGTGTCTGTGTGGGGAGAGGAACAACTACCTGACAGAGCTATAACTCACAGCTGATTAGTGTATAATCAGTCTGGCCTGGTCTGCAGACAGACGGGGTATTTAACTTAAAGCACTGGACTTTGATTGTTGTTGAATGAAACTCATTTGTCTCCCTCAGTCTTCATGATAAACAGCCATATTTATATACAGTACTGTGATACATGAACAAGTACTGCTTGCTCACTGATGCCTCCAAAGCAGTGACTACATAGATCTATTAATTATTATTCTGATTATTATTAGAATCCTTTTTCATTGGAATTATATATATACATATTATTTATTATAAAACACTACCTGGGGCAGGAGTGTCAACCTTCTCTGAATTAATTTTCACTCTCTTTGTCAGTTTAAAAATAAATATTGTGGAATCTGAACGGTTTTTCGCAATGATTTGTTTAAGCATAGAAAACTGTTAACCCGCTTCGGTTCACATCTGTAGGCTTTTTGTTAACATCATCCTACCTTGTCCAGCTGGTTGATGCCCTCCTCCACACAGCAGATGGAGGCCACTGTCCTCAGAGCGTGTGCGTAGAGTTCCTTGAAACGGTCCTGTCTGCAGATTTTAAACAGGGCCACTATAGCGCCTTCCTGTTGGAAGGGGAAAAAAAAGAAGAAGAAACATGTTTTAGCCTTTAGACGCAACAAGAGCTTCTATTCTGTTTTAGTCTTTGAAGCAGTTAACGCTTTATCTGACATTATCTGTTTGTACCCATGGAAACACAGGCAAACAAATGTGTTGGCACAGTTTTATCACCGTAAAGGTAAACAGGACAGCACGTCTGTGTACAGTTAGGGAAAAATTAGAAATTAGAGTGAAATTGTTTCATGTATTAGTAAATAAAAAAACACAAAAGGCAGCAGTATAAAACATTCCAACAAAATATGTTTTTTACCAATCTGGTCTGCAATACATGGAAACATTATAACGATTACTTAAGACTATAGTGTCAGTCGTGGTCAGTGATAAAGCTGTAATAAAACACCGGCTGCACATTAGTGTTCATTTAGCCCTGGCTTTAAACAGTCACACCTTGACTGTTAAATAGCATGAAGCCTAACGTCAGTGTTATATAGACACACATTTACGTCTGTGCTGTCACCACTCTTGTCATGACCTATATTTGTGACGAGAACCTCAACCTGACACAGCGTGAGTCACTACCACCAATGCCTTCAGTTAATATGCAACGTGGCAGGTAGGCCAAGGGTTCTACTGGATCTTTCACTGACCAAGGGTTTTATTTGCCTGAAATCTATATTCCTCCTACCAAATTAATCACATCATCCATCAGTATCCCTCATCTTCAGCAGTAGCTCTTTTCCTGAAACATTAAAACGATTACCCAAGACTATAGTGTCAGTCGTGGTCAGTGATCTAGATCTACATGACCCCGGAGACCCAGTACAGCCAGAGCTTTCCTGGGTGATCCTGCCATACCTAAAACTGTGGATGGCTCAGGCATTTTGACAAGCTTTATATACACAGCTACAATATAAACATTTTATGAATGGAAAATACTACATGGCACAAAAAAAAAAGAAAAACAATAGCTGCGCGAGCCATAATAGCTAAGAATTTTCTGTTGAATTATGCTGGTAAACAAACAAAAATAGAACTCAGTATTGGCTCAGTGTCTACAGTAATGCACCACTCTGACATAAACACTCGCAGGTATTGAATTCTGTTGACTGTAGAGCTGGGCACAATTACCAGGAGGACGACTCAGCAGGTAACTACCACCATTATCCTAACAAGGCCATTATACCAGGCTGGTATGTCTCCTGTGACACCAAGGCCACGTTGTTTGAGCTTTGGGTGGCTAATCATTCTGCTCTCTATTCTGAACACTCCTCTGTTCACCGCCTACTCATTATTAATACCCCATCGGTGGAGGAAGCGCCAAAACAGAGAAGCTTTTTAGGAAACCATTTCAAACCCTAGGGAAGCTCCGTGATTGGTTGAAGTTGTGTTTGAGCAGTTACGGCGAGGGTTGTTAATGTAAATGTTGTTTAAGCTTTTAATTAAAGGGAGTTTATAGAGAATCACTTCAGTGTTCAAAGCTGTTGTTAGCTGCTGTTGTTGTTGTTGCCTTTTTTCCTTTTTTTATTCTACACTGATTTCTCCGTGCGTCAGGAACAGATGATGGGAAAAACATACATTTTTTGTTCTGCTTCTGACACAGTGACGTGTGAGCCTTTGTGAAGACCACATTAGTCTAAACGGAACATCAAGACAAACTTAAATGTCTTTTGGACTATTGAATCGATGTCCATAAACCCTGGTCCAGATGGTCTTGGTTTGTTCTACACACCCTGTCTAGATCCCTTGACCTTTCCTCTACCTTCACCATGAGGTACACATCTGTGGTTTGGAGTTAAATGCCGACAACAGCTGTGGGATGAATCGCCATAAAACGGTCGACCTTCATGTTCCTCCAAGGATAAATCGCAATAACTTTTAGGGTCTGATGACTTTTCATCTTGATCCAGCAACTTTTTTAAACTTTGATTTCTGATGAATGTGGTGCAAAAGAAATGAGATTACCATCACGAATAGTTTAATCACAAAGGGTTTGCTTTGGATTTCTAGTGATTTCTAGTAATGTGTAGTCGTTTTTTAACTATCCATCCACCCATCGTCGTCCGCTAATCCTGGGCCGGGTCATGGGGCAGCAGTTTTTTTCTACTAATAGAAGCCTGTTTGACAAGCCTGTTTTTTTTTTTTTTTTTAGTTTGTTTTTGGTTTGATTTGAAAAAAAAATGATCGAATGATACATGAATTTCTGTTGTTTTCACTGACTTCATTCTCAGTCTGTGTTCAAAGCTCAGTGAACACATCATGCACATAAAGTTTTACTACTGGTTGCACTAACGTCACAACTAATCATTTAAGAACGCCTGCTCGCATGTTACGGCCCATAAAGCGTGTGATTTGGTAAATATCCTTCCAATTGCATTTCTCAAAACTTTGCTCTGGTCTGTTAAAGTTTTTAATATAAAAAAAAACGTGGGTGGTAAATCTAAAAGCCAAACTAAATAATTTGATTATTTTTGTTTTTCTCTCATTTTGTTTTTCAAACAAATTATTTCTCCTGTCGTGTAGTTTTCAGAGTCACTGACTCCAGCCAGGCCTGAGTTGCTGCCACGTCATGCTTTCACACACCCTGCAATCTAAAGCTTTGAGTACAAGCAGGAGCAGTGGCAGAGAGGAGCCGTCTGCCAACATGGACACGTTTAGATCAGTATCCATCACAGCTGCACTCTCAGACAACTGACCGCCTTGTAGAGCAAGACACTGTTGCTCTTTAATATTGAATTTGATTTATAAGGTACAATGATGTGATGTTAGCTTATATTATTGTGCTTGTGGTTGTGTTTCCTTTTAGAATGCAAATGTGTTGTTAGAAAATTACCTGAAAAGTGAACAAGAATAAAACAATGTGACAAACAAAGTTTAAAGTGAAGGACGCAGGCTTTAGGTCTGACGGTACTCATGTTTAAAGTTCTTTGATATTTTGTTGATCAAAACTAAACTTAAACTAGAAGAGCTGTAGTGACTGAATTAGAGCTAAGACTGAGTTAGAATTTAGTAAAAAGGCTGCAAATAATTGAACTTATTTTACTCACTTGGTTGTGTTGAGAATAGAAAAAAAGGAAGAAAAAGATTAAAAGGTCATAGGTTCCAAATAAAATAGATTTAGCTTTATTACCAAACCTTTAATTTATTATTTCTTTTTTAAACAATTCTTATTTATGGTTTGCAGTTTAATCAGTTAAACATTTATAACCTAAAAAAAAACACGCATAATAACAGGCAGCCCTTTTCACGTCACAGAAGTTGTAGTCAATTAAAAGTGAGTCATAATTATAACAGGAACCTCTTCTCCAGGCTGAGCAGCCACTATTCCAGAAAGTCTGCTGTCGTGAAACTCCAGCCAGAGAATGAAATCAACATAACAAAACTCATATCCTTAAATCCAGTTAAATCCAGACTGATTATACACAGTTTATATAACCATCCAGCTCTCTTTATCATGCTGTCTGCTTTAATACCATGCGTTTAATCTTTGCCCCCCCCCTTCATTCTGCACAACCAAACACACTCATATACTGTACGCACTCTCTCTCACACACACACATGCACCACCATTCACTTTACACTGTTTGTCAACACCCACACTGATAAAGACGTGGAGGAGGCAGAAGTTTCAGGTCTTCACTCAAGCATATAAAAGGCTAAGTGCTGTTATTCAAAATAAATGTGCGGCGGCTGTGGGAGCGAATATGAGCCAGAAGATACGCACCACCGTAGAGGGTGTGCATGGGGCTGACAAGGTGACTGACAAACTCCTGTAAGCTGATTAACTGTGATGGTCGGTGGAGTATTGTTTTGTATTGGGTATTCATTAGTGGCCATTGGCAGGACATGTTCCCTCTGACAGTTGAGGGGGAGTTTAGAACGTTACAGGCGTCTGAAAGGCAACGACACCTGAGCAACCTTCATCAGTGATCAATTCTTCATCCTAATGGGACCTGACAGAATTGATCGGTCTATCTGTGAGCAAAGACGTGTGTGTGTGTCGGTGTGTGTGTGTTTCCACATGTGAGGGCAGCAGGAAGACTCTTATCCAGATCATCCTGGAAGCAGCTAACTAATGGCCGACTGAGACTTGCTGTCTGCTCTGCCTGGTCTTATCATACAATAAAAAAGTGCAGCTTTGTTGAGGAACAGATACGCAGCACTGAGGCTGCAGAACAGCAGGTCTGTGCTCTCCTTAGTTACTAATGTCAGTCAGAGTGAGGAAGAAAATGTTTTCTCAATTTAGCTAATCATTCATCCTATAGTGCACTATGTTTAGGAACTTTAGTCAGTATAATTTTAAAATGATTGGAACAATGGTTTCACACGTTGACATCGTTGTCATCTTTGTCATCTTTCTCCTTGTCATTCCTTTCTTTTGTGTTAATATGCTTTTCACCACAAAAACCACATTCACATTCATACAGAAGATAACATAATATAAATACAAAGATAAATAAATGGTTATCTTTGGTCAAGACTCCTTTATGGATTTACAGTCCTAGTGTGAATCTATAACAGACAGTACAAAGTCCACTACTGTGTTGACTGTACCTTGGCAATGATGCTGCAGAGCTGAGGTCCATCCTGTGTGAGTGACAGCAGGTTGCTGATGGCACTTCCTATAATATGTACATTGTCCGATGATTCGATCTGTTTGATCAGAACCTGAGAGAGAAAGCTGCTGATTAACTCCACTGCATAACAATTACTGTATGACTGTTGCTGCTCAGTAAATAAATATGTGGCAGTTCCAATAATCATGATTACACAAGGAACGCAACTTATACATCGATGACTTCATGAGTCATCCTACAGCCGTGTGACTACTGAACGATTCATTACATTGAGAAATTAGTGTTATCCACTTTCTCTAATTCACTAAGGCAACCAGGATGATGTAATCCTCCATTAGCCCAGCTCACAAAATGTTCAAGTTAAAATCAAATCATGTTCACATAGTTGAATGAACCAGGGAGTTGTGCATAATTGTAATTGATTGTCTAATACAAGTGGCCAGACTCCAGTGTAGCATTTTTATTTTTTTTTACGCAGCTGCTTCTCTTTTAACTGTTTGATATCTCAACCTTGAATTTGATGACAGCAAACGTCATGTAAAGAGTCGCAGCGGTACATACCCGAATCTCATTGGCTAAGGCCATGTCAATCATGTTGCTGAATGAATCGCTGACATCAGTGAGTATCTCATGGATGGCCTCTCTCATGGATTTAAGGAAGTACTCGTCATCAGTGTGAAGACACCTGGGGGTCAAAGCAGTAACGTACAGGACCTCTAGTTATCGGTCAAGATTCCACCTTCTCTCCATTCTTTGAAATAGTTCCTCACAACCTTTTTACCTCTCTGTTATATTCGTCAGCTCCATGCATTTCTCCAGCAGAGATGTCTCATACTGCAGAGAGGAGACAAAAAACTGAGATGAAAAAATAATTTAAAAAGAATAAAATATATTTTATTTATTAACTAAATAATTAGAAATGTCAGCAATGCAACATTTTATCAGCACCGTATCCTGAGGTCTAAGTTTTACTGGCTTCACCGAGGTTTCAAAACTTCTCTAATCCTCTGCTCCATCTCTCTCCAGCCCACACATGATGTCATAGAAAAACCCACAAAACAACACGGACCAAAAAATCTTTCTAAATTAATTATTTTTGGAGGCTGAGAGCATCAATCTCAAAGGCAGGAAAGTCATTCGCCGTAGGTAAAAGCTTTATTTGTCAAACGTTAGTTTGAAGTTTTTCAAGTTTAGTTTGTGTAACTTATAAACCCGCCCTCTTTGTCAATGTTCTCTTCTCTGAAGAAAAAAAAAATTTGATCAGGCCTTTTTCTAACATTTATGGTCAGTTCACTCTGGGCACTTTGGAATTGTCCCACAGTCGAAAAACGGTTGTCTCTGAGTGTCAGTGGTTATTTTGTATTACAACATAACTTTTTATCACAATTTTGAATTCCCATTAGAATAGATTAAAATTCATTTCAAACCTCCCTCCCTCACCCACACCCACCTTCTGCATCTCAGGAGGTGTGCTTCGGGCAGCGCTGTACTCGTGCACCAGAGAGCGAACGTGACAGTTCGCTCGTACGGCCGTGCTGTGGACTCTTTGCCAGCGGCCTTTTTCCAAACGCTGGAACATCTTTCCAAGCTCCGTACTGACCACCAGCGCTCGGCGAAGGAGAATCTGGAGGTTGTTCCTGGCCACATGGTCCCCTGCACCCAGCCCAGAGCCTATGATCAGCTCTCCTTGCTGGGAATCCTCTTCCACACCAATGGGTTTGGCTTGGAGGACACACATGCACTCCACCTCTGTCATATGACGGAGGTCTTCCATCCATCGCTGCACAGAGTCAACCTGAAGGGTTTGCATTCTTGTGCTGTAGGATAGAGTCACATATTAGTTGTTTTGGAATAAATCTTAATAATATATCTTATTTTCCTATCTTTTTAAAAAAGTAGCCTCACAGTTAGCGCCTGTTTGAACTGTTTTTTTTGACAGATTTTGGACAGTTGAAGTCTCTGATTTTCTGGAGATACAGACAATAGAGAAGCCTAACGTTGATTATAGGTCTCTACATGAACGCAGCCCAACAGAAACAGGCTTAAAGAACAGATGCAGTTTACTCTGTGTATCACTACACATTGAGTTATGCTGTATGGAAAAACTAAGGTATTTTTTTTTCAATGGAAAGTTGTATCATCTGGCAACAAGATGACTCACGTATTGATTGCTGTTAATAATACGCAGTGAAAGTTTAGTTTCCTTCCCCCTCATTGATTTCCTTGGTGCGTATCGAGTTGACTTTGTTTTCATAGACATCACTAATTATTGATGTAGTAATTATCAAGTACTGAACAAATCACTGAAGAAATAGATCTGCTACAGTATGTTACACTAATTATATGGTAAATATAATTACTGTATCTGTGTTTGAAGTCATGTTTTGCATTGACTTTAGGTTTTAAAAAAGTTATTATTTGCCTGTAGCAAAGAAGATAATATTACCGTCAGTAGAAAAATTGGTAATATTGCACCTATCATTCATGGTCTCTCTCAGTGAAACCTTTAGTGAAATAAATTCTGAAAATATCATTTTTACTCCCTAAATCATTGTGACTTCTTCAATTCACACCACTTTGCAGGATGTGAGGTTCTGCTATACTTTTTTTAACGTTACAGACACAGTCAGGCATGTACATGATTGGAAGGTGTAAACGTGTGTTCAGTTAACCTCCACTTTCCACAGTTATTAGTTTAACACATCATTTCTGCACAGCATGGAGCCTCACTTAACACAGCAAACGAGTCTCACCTCTCTTCCCCACTCCCACACATCTGTGGCCCTCTTGGCAGGGTCACAGGGTCAATCCAAAGTTCTGCTCATAAGTCAAAGCTCCCTGAAAGTCAGCGGTTCAACGACTACAGCAACCCCTGCGCTCTCCCTCCGAGTCAACACATGGCAAAAGGTCTCTAGTGAAATATCAAATTTCCCTTTTGGTCTAATTGCGGTTTATGGCAAATGGCAGCTCACTGGGGACACAGGAATATTGCTTTGTGTTGAACTTTCCATTTATTCTGCTCCAAAGGAAGCAATTTGGTTTTGTGTGTGCATCCAAAACAACTCTGAGTCACTGCGACGCAAAAGTCAACATCACTCACGTCTATAACTCTATAACTTGCACTCGGTCAAACCAAACTGAGAGAGGCCTGTTTATTAAAGATAATCAATATTATGTTATGTCAAAGGTCAGAGGAAGGGTCTCATTAACAGTTGACTGGCAGATGGATGAACTCCTCTCAGGCTGCCACTTTTATTATCATGACATCAGGACAAAGATGTTTTAAAGTCATTTATTGGCAAAAGGATGTGTGAACCAAGGATATTAGGCTACATTAAGTTTTTTTTAATAAGGTCAACAAGTGGGAAACAGTTTACTTATACGTTTTATAAATGAAAATCTTTTTTTTAACTCAAAATTCAGTTTTGACCTGCAGTGTGTCTAGATGCTAACAGACCGGCACGCTGTACCATTTGTCATTTGCCAGCAGAGGCAGTTTAATAATAATAATAACAGAAACACAGTCTAATCTACTCTCAAGCTCAAAACCCTTTTGCAAATAAATCTTCTTTAGTTGAGGAGGAGGATTAAGATGTAATTAGCAGGAGAGAAAAGACAAGAATAAATAACTGCCATGTGCTCCACTGTGATATAATCGTTAATGTGGAACTTGTTCGGCTAAGTGGAGTAAATGGCTTCATAGTTATCTTCCTGACTTCAGAAAATGGGTGAGATATGAGTTTTAGTTAAACTCGAAGCGATTAGGAAAATGAATTCTTCTCAGTGTCCCTTCTAAGTGAGAAACCACTGCGTCCCATGTTTCTCTCACACCACAGACAGCCTCTTAAAGCCTGCTCCACTTTATTTCTTGGAGAGAATAATCACACTCGATTACAGCTCCGAGCAGAATTATCTGCTAAGAGCCTAATACCTAGTCAACTGCTTGTTGAAGAGGAGCTTGTTAATAAGTATCATTGTCATGAATTGTTACTAATTAACCTAGAGCCCCCCCGCTCCCCCTTTTTTTTATAACAGAGCTGTATTACATAGATTTTTCCAACCACATATGAGATTCTTAGAATTTGTGGGCAAACAACAAAATCTGACTTTCGGGAGAAGGTCCAGCTCCTCTCCATGTCATTCCTAATGTGGTTATTTCAAACCACTCTCCGCAGTTATATAACAGCACCACGTACTACACGCCAAATAAGCCACAAATCGTTCCCCTCACCATCAGCGGAAAAAAAAAAAATTATAATAATAGGTTTGTTTTCCAAAGGAGGGGAAGTGGCGCACTTCAGCTCAGAGGGAATGACAAATATTTACATGCAGGGCCAAAGGAGGGTCAGGCGACAGCGGCTCCATTATCTTAGCCAGGGATCCTGCAGAGATGAAGTATCTGTCCTTCTCATCTGCTGCTGGCCTTTACCAACAGCAAAGGCCAGTGACGGCAGCAGCAGCAGCAGCAGAGACTGGAGCTGCTTAAATGCCTGTGTTTTTTCATGCTAACGCAACTTTAGCATCACAGCCACCATCCTCCATCTTTAAATTTAGGATCAAATTAGCAGAGTTGTTGAATTATGGTGAGGTCTTGTCGTCTATTTTAGATAATTTATACTGAAACAACTAGGGTACGCTTGTAGAACCTCTAAGGGCTGTACTTTTTCTGTTTTTGGCTCAGAATAAAAATAACACTACCATCCTGGATAGGTAAACAAGCTAAGCAATGTGCTGTGTAAAAAAATACTATAATTTAGTGAAAATGATATAATAATTATAAATAAGTATTTGGCAAATATTCTAATAATAGACTGAGGCTAAAAATATGTAATGGCAGAATTCACATAAGTATTGATGGAGGCAGCCAGACAGATAGATATGTAGATGTCGGAGTTGACTGACGATCATCGGAAACATCTCAGTTTCACACAGATCTACGTAAGAAACGAGGGTGGTTTACAGCACAACACATTGACACTTCCTGCAGCCAAGTAGGTGAAAATGATAACCTGGCCTTTCAGATGATTCATTCCTTTTCACTTGTTCTATGTCATGAGTCACTGAGAAGTTACAGATAAACAACTCTGTGTGACTGACTTTTCAGTTTAAGGTGAAAACTTCAGGTCATTCTGGTCATTCGGTTCTGGGACTATAAAGAAAATGGACAAAACATTCAGTGACCCCTCGGTGAAACCCTGGAATAACAGGAAGTACTCCAGTCAACTCCTCCTCTTAGGTCTTTATGTCAGTTTTGTAAATGAAAACCACATTCAGAAAAATGAAATATAAAAAGTTAGTCAGAGGGTAAATGTAAGTGGATATTGAATTGACATCTAAACTGCCTACCTAGAGGTGGTGAGGTATGAAAGCTAGCAATATAATGGCACATGGACACATCGTGAAAGACTAAAGAAACCAACTAAAGAGGCCTTGGTCTGAGCAGATCTCTGCTCCTGTACATTTTCTGAAACCTTTGGTCTGTAACGTCCTGGAAAGTCGTCTACTGACAGCAGTTTCTTGCTGAGGGAAAGTGTCACCTGGTGAGGAGGAGAGCACGAAAGCAGCTCTTGATGTAATACTCGTATAAACTCTAAGAGACTGCCTCGTCACATGGTGTGATTCACTTTGTTTGAGGCAAAAAAACAAACAAAAAACACAGCCGCTGTCTGCTTGAGATCACAGTGCGAGTATAAAACCATTGTGTGTCCTCTTTGCTGGTCTTCCTCCTTATCAGATAAAGAAGGTAATAAAAACAATAATGTCGTTTCACTTGTTATATTCCTGAGACCACAGTGACAGTAACGTTCCAGCTCAGTGCTCTGAAGCGGCGCACACGTGTAGCGCTCGTTAGTACGCAGCAGACGGGCAGGTTTGAAACCACCTGTTATCACTCATGTATAGCAGTTATTGGACGGCAGGGGTGGCTGCTGTTTCTGTACTTGTTCTAACACTTGGGGCTTCCAGTCTTTCTGGTACGATCGCTGTTCTTCTGCAGCGTCATATCACCGTGACTTAACTTGGCAACACTGTCACATGTGTAGAAAGTTTCAGTTCCTCAGTGTGGCTTTAATTAGGCACACACCAATGCTTTGCTAGTAATTGTATCAGGCCTGATACTTCATTCATATACTAGTACACGTATTCGAAAAACATGCCATTCCAGTGACCTGAGACTCCAAAAAGGTTTTTGACTACAACCGGCTGCACACCAGTCAGTCAGTCAGCCACATCAGGGACAAAGACATTAGGAAGTCTTTCTTTACGATTTGTCCACTTACGATACTAGCAATACAATAAAACGCATCAAAACAAGATGATGAAAATGTCTCTCCTCAGTTTACATCATTGTTGACAGAGGAGGCGCTCCCTAACTTACAAACTCAGGACCACCTGAAACCATGTCGTCATGGAATAATTACACCTTTACAGCTGAGGTTTTTTTTTCTCCTGCTACTTTAATCCAAAGACAGGGAAAAGCACATGTATCTCGTGCAGACGAGCATGTTTTTCACACAGGAGTGCTTATTATGGCACCGCACCAGATCAGTGGAAAAGTACTTATTCCTCCAACTGGCCTCTTGCTGCAGCTGTGTCTTTATGACAGTGACCCTAGAAAAATACAGCCAGGAGGAAACAGGGAGATTAGTCCTTGTCATGGTTAGAACTTTGAGTCGGCTTGGTTGACTTTTTAATTTACTAGGCCAATTAGCTTCACATTTATAAGCAGCTGCCGAGCAGGCTTTGTTCAACTGCCTCTAAAATATTTTGTCCAATTTCTGATTTGTATGGCTATAAGTGATGCCTGACGAGCATATGAAGCAATGGAAATATGTCTCAGATGCATCAAAACCACAATCCAGCCGGGCAGAGGCAGTGGAAATGTGGATGAAATGAGCTGTGGATTTGAGGACCAGACCACTGTGGTTTTGGTTTTTAACTAAAGAAGAAAACAGGGACTCTGTTGTTCTAAAAAGAATGAGAAAAAAAAATGTGGTCCTTCATGCAAAACATTCTAAATAGAAAGTAATATATCGTCCAAAGACCAGAGTCCTGCGGCAAAGGACTAGGCTGTAGTTTGACTTAAAATTTGATTCACTTTATTAAGAAGTCAAACGTTTGCTTAGCACATACTAACGGAAATATGACTGAATTACTTTTTAACATTTTACTCACTGTCAGATTTAGGAAGTTCAGTCCTGGATTTTCTGTGCAAAATCTGAGCCAGGCTCTTCCTGCAGTAGCATGTAAATGGATGTTGTGGTAACTGACTGGTACACTTTAATCCCAGCCGCACGGGCAGACATCTGATTTCCAGATGTTTAAAGGCAGCCTCTAATGTACAGCCAAAACCAGATTCACCCAAAACAGCACACACAAAATGTGTTTTTCTTTTTGCTGTCTTTCCATCTGATACACAGTTCTGCCGTCATGGTCTGGTATATGTGCAACATCAGGCATTCCCCTAGTAGTACACTTAAACATATCCAGCTGTTTCTCTCACTTTGGTTTGTCATGAATCAGCAAATTCACACTTGTTCACTGATGTCATCACTCTTTCACTGGTTAAACGGTCACCGTGATAACATGAGAGGAAACGTAAACAGTGAAACTACACCACCAAAGGCTCGCACGATTGGTCGGCTGTTTTCTGATGTTAATCTGAATCCTTGATTGTCTGTCCTGCTCTGGACAAAGCGCTGGCCTTGTTGTGAAGATGTCTGTCAGTTGCATGCGTGCATGCGTTCCATCTGTGTTTGCAATTCATTTTAATACAATATTGTCATTTGGCCTCCTTTCGTCGACTGATTTACGGTCATGTGCAGCACAAATAGGATTTATGCTCGAGCGTGTGTGTATATGAGTAACAGACAAA